TACTCAACATGAAAAAAGAGGAACTGAGCACCACAATCAGGCTCCTCACTGGACATGGTAGGTTTAAGACACACTGCAAAAACATGGGTATCGAAAGCGATGCCCGCTGCAGACTATGCCATGAGGCAGACGAGGACAGTCTGCACATACTTTGTAGCTGCCCTGCACTGGCTACAACAAGGCTTAATTGCTGGGGAACCGCCTTCCCTAGCATCAGCTATGTAGCGGATCTAGACGCCGGGAATCTACTAAAACTGGTGAGAAAAGCTGGCCTAGAATTATAGGGATCAGAAGGACAACGGAGCCACAATAGCCCAGTAGGGGTTCGGTGACAAGAGGGCAGCAAATGCCTATCCGTATCTTTAACCATAACCATAACCATAAATCTAGAATTGTGTTTCATCGAGGAAAACTGTTGGTAAACTTGGTGTTCTACTTGTGCCCTCCGCAGTGTATCATCTCTTCAAGATGCACCCGTATCTCATATTTCCAGTTTTTGTCCATAAATAGGGGTCAACGTACATTCAACCACAGGCCGAATACCTGCTGTGTACTGAGGACTTCTATGCCCTGGCACACGCTGAGGATCTTGTTAGTTGTCAAATCACAGATGGTCATCATTATTTTTGTAGTGCTAATTTTCCTCCGTATAGCACGAAAGCCCGACCTATATGTGAAGCTACGGACACCATTACAAGCAATCAACAATCATTCCATAATTGTGACATCAAACTTAGCTCAACCTTGAACTCTTATGGGAGAAAGACTGGAAAAGATTGGTTATATTCAACACCAGAGAAAGAGGAGATAAATATTTGGTGAGATCGCCGATGGGTGGATGTGCTGAATATTTCAGGCGTGGGTGTGCTTCAAATAGGAAGTGTATACCACGCTGCTACCTCATATGCAACGATAATTGGATTTCAAACGAAAAAAACTGTGACACCTGTAAACTATATTGATGCTTGAAATCTGAATGTTACCAATTTAGTGTCGTAACGAGATTTTTCTCGTCGCGGGTTGGAATCCCCCTGGTAACAGAAAAGAAACCTGTTGTATGGACAGTGGAGGCGGAACAGCCATCTAGCGGGGGCCGAACAGGCCTCGGATGGATGAAAGGTAAGTCTTCCCTCCGGTGAGGGGCCAAAGGCATAGCGGTTTGGGTGGAAACGGCGACCCCTGTCGGCTCTGAGGACGTTAATGGACTGTCACTTAGTTGGTGTTTGCTCAGCATGTGATAGGGAGTATTGGGGCCGACGTACAGGCCGTCCAACTGGGCAACACTAATGTGTCTACCGACTTAGAGTAGGGACCAACGGCCAGGTGAGAGGACTGGTGCCCCCGGGATCCCGTAGGGTTGATTGGCCGTGGCACGGGTAACGGAATGACCGTGTTGCCGCCGAGATATCCACACTAGGGGGAGAAGGTCCTAGGAGATTTCGGACAGTCGAGCGCGAGCTCTCGAATAGAGCGGCCGGAACGCCGCTCGCTAGCTGGAATAACGCATGGCTGAAACAGCTCAGCAACGGGAAGATATACTTCCTCGTCCGAGTGATGCAAATCACGAGGGCGAGCATATGGAGATGCTCCTGCATCTCCCGCGAAACCTCATGTCTCGTTTCGGAGCATGTGGTGACGACCATTGTGTTTCCGGAGTGATCTGTGTCAGGACGAAAACGGTGATAGTGCGTGGCCCGTGGGTCTGGAGTCGAGAGAACTCCTGTCGACCCAGCATGCGCCGCCATCTTAAGTAGCCAGGGACGGGGGCTAGCGATGGAACGGGCAAACTGAAGGCCAGGAGCGTGGGTGGTCGTGAGGTGAATGGGTAGATATCCACCTTGGTTAGATCAGCCTCTTGGTGTCCTAGGGACTTCCGCGAATTCGCAGGCGAGCATGACCTTGCTCTGGATAGGGATATCCAAGGGCAGGAAGACTGCCCCGGCAGGCCTGCGAGGGCCTCCCGGGAGAAGAAAAGCACCTTTCGGAGTGCTTCGACTCGCACGTGACGGCGCCCTCCGGGCTGGGAAAAGCTGGAAGGAATCTCGGGTTTCTCCGGGTGGACCACACCCACTCTACCACATCACCCTGAAGCTAGCTAGGCATGTGGCATGTCCAGCGGCCCCCAAGCCCCTCGGATAGCCGCACAGGCCCTGAGGGCCGGTTTTGTCAGACCTTCCGTCAAAGGTCTGGCTGGCGTCCGACATTCGAAGAGGCATGGACATTGGTCGTAAGGGATCATTTTCCTGTGCGAAATACCCCGGGAAAATACCCTTACAGTGTACAAACAAAAATCTATCGATTTTATAACAACGAACTACGTTGAATTTGTTCAATTTTTACGTAATACATTACGGTGGAAACAAAATCATATACTAGACTCTTTTTTGTGATGTTGTTAGAATTCGAATTGTGTGGATGATATATTGTGTGAAGACATCGTGTTGAATAGATCGAATCATATTTTGAGGACGAGATATATTTACATGAT